CTTCCAGGATTAGATTTAAATTGAAACTGAGGTTAAAAGAAGTTTTATGTCTTGGACAGATAAATGCATTTAATCCCTCATAGATTAGTCTTGCGTTTAGGTTTGCCAGTTCTCAATGCCCCTCTCAGTTCACAATATAACACTGCCTCAAGAGTCACACACTAAGTAGGAAGGATGTTATAGGGTACTAATGGTCCCTGAATGGGGAGAATTTGTGATCTACAGCACAACTGTAGGGATATATCAATATTGTTGCTGAAGATAGAAGACTTCCCTTAAATGATGTAGAATACTAAAGTGCCAGAATTTCCAATCGTCATTTGGCACAATCTATTTTAGATAATCCCAAAATATGTCTCAAAATTTTTTCTTCTTGGTTTCTATATAAGATATTTTTTTAAAAATGATCTACAAAGGCATCAGTGGCCCTTCCATACAATGATTTCACATGACATTGATACTGCATGCATAAGTATTATATCCATCTCTAACTAGGTCACACATTATTACAGCTATTAATCTTATTTGTCTTTACCTATTCCTAGCAGTGACATATCAATGCATAAATAATTACTTCTTAAAAACTTCTTAAGTCTATGAATTTTACTTTGAGATACATGGATAATGAGTCTTCCATTCAATTCAAAATGTGGAACTTATAACATCTGGAATACATAATTTTTCTATTCAGTCTTAAATATTAAGTTCTATATCAGGCATAGCTTCCAATATTTAAAACAAACCAGTATTTCCTATAGAGCTCTAAAAATGTATTATTGGTTGGCTTTTCCCCAGAAGCAAAGATATGATCATCATTTTTAAAGGTTGACAATTGCATTCCATTACCCCCACATCAATTTTTTTCTTTCTTCACAGAGGTTGGTGAGGCTGGCCCTTGGTGTGGACACATGGTTTCAGAATCAGATGTACCAGAACGAACTGTGATTTCTCAAAGTTTAAACAGGGAGTCCTGTGACACTTGGAAGCCTAGATTTAGAAAGTAGTTGGAGAAAAAACTTTTATATTGAATTTAGAGAACTTTGATAACGTTTTTCTCTCTCCCTTTCAAAAATAAGTTGTCGATAGCATATTTAGTTTGCATACTCTAATAAAAGCAATTGATTTATAGTGATCTATAAATTTAGATAGGTAAACAACTGCTTTCCTTAAGGAAGGCGAAGGATAAACATTAAGTAATTTACTCCAGACTATTTTTGTAGTAATTATGATGATAAAAATGTTATTTTTATTGATTTCAAATTATTGGCTTGTAGACCTCATGGAAATATCTTTAAGATAATCTTTACCACCATTCTGAGAAGTCTCTTGTTTCCAGTTCATAGTTTTTCATCAAATAAAGGTAGCATCCTTTAAATGTGAGCTGATAGCAGCCTCCATCAGTCTTGCATTCTCTGACATTCCAGGCCTTAAGTGAAATCCGAAGTGTTTATAGATCTGTAGGAATTATTTTGATTTAATTTCATATAACTTATTATTACTTTAAAATTTCTTCTAGTTTTTAGCTATAATTCACTTAAATCTAGAAAGTAAAAGAAAAAGTATTGCAGGGGACTGTTTTACATCAAGTATGTCCCTGAATGATTTTGTAAACACTGTGTAATGCATTAATATATTTCAAAGAAGAAATTATCTTATAACTCAACATTCAATCATTTTTTAACTAAATGTTTATGGTAGAATAGCTATTACCACAGTACCCAAATATATGGATACAAATACATTGTATATTTCTTTATGAGTTTCTTTTCAATTGAGCAACAGAGACACAAAGGCAGAGAGAGAAAACTGTTATTGATGTTTGCATGCTATGATAACAGTAGGTAATATGGTGGTTCATTCATTAGTTGACACATCTGGTGAATTTTAGGTACCAGGAAAATGACTGTAACTAAGTAGAAAAAAAAATGTCTTTCTGTCATACAGCTAAAATTCTACTTCATATTCAAAAACCATGAAGGATTACTTCACCTGGGATCAACCAAATTCTAGAGATAGATAGGGGCATTTCTTTTAGGAACTAATTTAAAAGTAATAGCAAGTTCTAATTGACTGACAGGGAGATAACTGTTAGGTTCCTTGAAGCATAACTTACACACTGAAAAGATTGGTTGAGCATTACGTGTAGAGCTACTTCTCATTCCCTGACCTCTGGAAGGAATGCCTGCTCTGTGTCAGGCAGATTGCCACTCTTTTTCTGGAACTAAGTAGTTCAGATGCTGTCAGTTCTCTGCAGTACCATAAAAGATAAATTCATTTAAAGTTAAATAAGAGAGAATGGTACAGTTTGTCTCACTTGATTTTCTAGTAATGCCTTCAATTCTGCAATGGATGGAAGATCAGAACAGATTTTTCTTCCTTAAGTGGAAGAATCTCAAAGATGTCAAACTTGTTATTTTCTTTGCTCACTCTTTCAGTTTCAGTGAATTCTAATGTGCTTATCCATTTCTCTTCTTCTTTGTGCAAAGATAGTCTGAGTTTTTATGCACTAGCTTTGGCAAATCATCACAATTTAAGAAAAGGCATGCCATCCTAAATTTCCACTGTTATTTGGGACTTAATTTTCAAAATGAACAAAAGTCTATCCTCATGAAATTCTATGAAATCAAATACAAAAATTAATCAGTATGGAATGCACAATAAAACAAAAAGTATTCAAACACAGTGACTCCTGCAGCTAAATGAACCAAATTATTATTTGTGAACAATGATTTTTAATTTATCTTCTGCTCTCATATATTTTCTATAGAAGCTTAACATATGTAAATATATGATTTTTCAGAGATTTTACACGTGGTGCAGATACTTCTTTTTAAAACAATCTGTAAAGGTTTTTGTACATTGTATACAATTAATTACTGCTGTTTTGCTTTATTTTTTTATTTAGGCCAATGTGATGGCTCAGCAAGTTAGGGCACTTGTTGCTAAGCCTGATGAATTGAGTTGTTGCATCCCCAAGGTGTACATGTAGAAGGAGAGAACTGTTTTCTATAATTTGTCCTCTAGCCTCCTCACTCATCCCTAAACATCAAGTGGAACAAAAATATTTCATTTGACCATTCCATATATGTTTATAATTTGATTATATTCAGTCCCATCACCTCTCTTACAGTCTCTCCTCTGTGAGGTAAAAAGACATGAAAATGGGAGGATTTGTTGAATTATCTTTCACATGATTCTAGTTTGTTTTGAACTTTTTATAACCCCCTAATTGAATCTGCTTTGTTCATTTAATAATTATGGAGTGTGTTTCTTCGACTAGACTTTAAAAGTCATGATAGTAGTAGATACTTTTGTGAAAGTCTTTTTAATGAATTAGCTCTGTCACTAACATAGATGTTCATCTTACCACGTTATCTTTATAGTATTCCTTAAATTTTCAAGGGGCAGAACAAGTACATTAGCATATGAAAAAAACAGCTGAACTCTACAATGAGAGAAAGCATACAGAGCAGAAAAACTGAGGTTATACAAATACCAGGTGTTCAAGGATCTTGTCCAAGCTGAAGATCTTGGACTTCCTCCACAGTAGAATGTCCTTTGTGATCATGATCATTCTCTTCTGACCAAAACTCTCCACAATGAAAACCTTAAAAGAATGCCAACATCTTCCTGCTCCCTTGCCACACTCCTAAGACAGAAACTTAGACTCTATATATCTATGCTTCTGGAATAATTTGACTTGAAGTAACTCTGCACTAACCTGTTGATTTTGTTGTATTGATTTGTCTCAAGTTGCCTAAGAATGACAGTAGCTATTGTCCTTCAAAAAGATGATCAAAGAAAAGTCTATCATAAAAGTCTTGCAGACATATTTTTAAATAACATCTGCTTATTTGGAGGGATGTGCTTGACATGTATTATTCATTTGATCATCATGAAAAAGCTATTCAGTAAGTAATGTTAATATATTTATTTAACAGTTAAAATTTCAGAGGGTCAGTAGTGCTGTAAATATTACTTCGATACAAGGGGGTAAGAACATGGCACCAGACTAAGCTACACTTGACTAAAGGTCCAAGTCTACTGACACAGTAGACATGCTTTTCTCTTGTACAAAAGACCTGTGAATGCTTTGTTACCACCATTAATAAGCTGTCCAACAAGTGGAAAGTAAACAAAGAATGCTTTCTGAGAAACAAACGAAATAAACATAGCAGTACATATGATGATTTCTGGGATATTTTGAAAGTCAAAAAATATATTTCAAATATGCATTATCAAAAACTACTAATGAGGAAATTAAAGTCTCAAGGTATATCTTATATAACATTATAAGAACGGACAGTCTTTTCATTCCTTCCCTCCTTCCTTCCTTCATTCTTTCTTTCATTTAAATATTTTTATTTATATCTTTTGATGGTGGCCTTGGTTGATTATTATTCTCTATGTAATCAATGATCTTAAGTTTAAAATTGTTCTGCCTCCCAAATGCTGACAAAGCAGGCATGAACCACCATGATTGTATCCTATACTTTTCTTTTCTTCAAATGCAGTTATACTGTGGTTAGCATGGACTGCTGAGCCAGTAAGATCAAGGTTCCAATTCAGCTATGTTACTTGCTTGATAATTTGTGACCTTACTTAATTTTCAAGCTTTAATTAAACCCATCTTCTGTAATATAAGCAATGTTGGTTAAATTTTAAATGATGTACCTAATAAAATAAAATAATTGTATATGAACCTTAATATAGTGTTTGTAATGTAATAATTATTCTGTCTTGAGGGAGTAGCCATTCACTTAATGTAATAGAATATACACATAAGTTTGGACAGTATGTTTGTTAAAAAAGATATGTTATCAGTGTTTAATTGAAGCATATAAACCTTTGCTTGGGAAGCAACTGACAGAACTATTGATGACCAGCAATTCTCTCATCATGATTCTATCTGATTTATAAAGTAGAGACAAGATGGTAGTATGTTTGCTTGGCTCCTTTGGTAAAATGTCTCATAACATGGGCTCATTTATCTTCACCAGGTGATGAGCCCAGGGTCCCTCACCTCCTTGCCATGGCATCACACCTGAGGGATAGTGCTGAAATCTTCCAGTCAGATGAGATGCGGCCTGCTAATGACCCAAAGGAAAGAGCTCCCAGCCGTGTCCGAATGCTGAATGACATCCTTCAAGACCTGGAGAAGAACTTTCTGATATCGCGGGTGCCACCAGGATTTTATAGGTAGGAAATAAACTTCCATGTTTATATCTTTTCCTCAAAACCATAACTTCACTTCCTGAATATGTTAAAGATTATAATACTATTTCAAAGAGACTCCACTTTAAGATATTTAAGAAAAGCACACAGAAGTGAGAACAAACATGATATGAATAGAAAAGTGGGGAGAGGATAAGAGTGGCATGAGAGAGAGAGAAGAGGGGATAGATTTCATCCAAAGTATTATAAGCATGTGTAAATAATCAATTTTAAAAACAAAACAATACAATAGTTATAGGTAGACTAGGACAAAAACTAAAGTAGTTATAGATAGATTCACCATCCAAAGCAAAGTTCAAATTAAGAAATATGGAATTAAGGACACATGACAAAATATCTTTTATTGATATCAGTATGATATCATTATTGGAAAATAAAGTACAGTCTAAACTTCCATGGGTGAAATATGCATTCCTGAGTACCAAGAGATGGGCCAAGCAGCTGTCTTACTAATAAGAACATGCCTCAAATGTTGACCTTAATATTTTTTGTTATAATTTATGACAGTATTAAATACATTTAATATTCTGGTGCCATGCAACTTCAGAGGATCTTGGAACAACCAAGAGAGCAGGGGCAATTTAGTTGGAGAGTAACAGGAATGCTCCTGAGATCATATAGGCAATGGCTTTTTAGAGACAGTAGTATGGTGTGGGCACAGTGCTTTAACCCAGTGGAATATGGCTTTGTTTAGGATGTAATCAAAGTAGAAAGTAAACAAAGGGAAAATCAATGCTAAACAATTTTTAATATTTAAAATATTTTGTATAATTGATTCATTCTTCTATTGAGGATAAAATATATATTTTCTGTAAGGTAGGCAATAAACACTGTATAAAACAGGGTAAGTATTGGTGTGAGAATGTAAAAGAAAATTCAACATTACTGAATTGCTCAGATAAAAATATACTTCAACCCAGTTATTTTGTCAGTATCTTTCATCATAAAAATCTTCTATGCCCCTTCAAAATAGGAAAATCAGAGGCAACAGTCTGTGCTTATATAATGTATATGGGCATGATAATTCAATATATTCATATGTATGTGTATCTTATATATGCATGTCATATATTTTTGAATTTACAAATGATACTTGTTAAGTGTTAAATTTATGACCCCTTATGTAAACTTTAGTGCTGAACTGAGCTATTGCCTCACTTCCTCATGTCTTTCACTTGTCTATGACTAGCATTGCTAAATATGCCATGTACAACCATACGCTAAAGGAAGGAATCAATAATTGATACCAAAGCGTAGCTATCTTAGTTACATATGAGAGTTTCTAAAATTGCTCTTCCCCAAAGACTATGACAATCTTTATATTAGTAGACGTCTATCTTTGTCCATATTTAAATATGGTTATGAGTGTGGAGCCTGTAACAGTTAAGTGAAAATGAAATTTGAGTGGTATTTGGTAGTAAACCTAGTTACATGAAAAGAACCTTATTGATCCACACCTTAATTTCTGCATCTATTAAATGAGATAGCACATGGGAATCTTTTATAATAAAAACATGCTTACACTTTTGGTATTTGATAAGTTTTCTTTGTGAGTCTGAAACTGAAATTCACATGTAGATTAAATTTTCACGTAATTTCTTCTAATCATCTAACTCTGAATCATGAAATATTAGAAAAAGCTGTATAATATTTATATTTTTTCATAATACATGAAGGCATTATGTATGCTCCCTGAAACTTTTTTTAAGGCCCTGAAACTTAACAGGCACTTCAAGTAAAAATCGTTTCCCCGATAGCATTCTAGTGCAGGGTTAGAAAGAAGACGGAAAATGATTTGGTAAAATATAAAGATAGTACATGTAAATATATGCTTAAAAAATCCAACCACATTATTGACAGAATTATTTAAAATGTCTTTATGAGAGTAGGTAAATCATGTTGGGGACCCATTTAATAAAGCCTGTTTCTATATGAAGAATACATTCCCTTCTTAATATTCTTCCAATGTGTATCTGGCTTACTTACATGCTATGCTTTTTCTTACCCTTTCAGCAGTATTTATCGACTCAACTTACTTCATCCTGTATTTTGAGAAGAAAAGCAAGCATTTGTCTGTTATTGACTAATACCAATAAAAGTGACTTTATACTCTTAATAATTATCACAGCAAACCCTATCTCAGTAATGTAAGTCTAAACATTATTACATATTCTAGTTCACATAATAGAATTTAGAAACGAACAGCTAAGGTTCAGTATTTTAGCAGTTACCAAAGGTTGACTATAGTTGTTAATGAAATTCATGTGTAATATACCTTTCGTTGGGATAAATGCTGGGGACATGGCAAAGTTTATTTATAGCTTTGCAAGGAACTGTGTTCCAAACCAGGTGTATAATCTTGCATTTCCAACAGTGGATAGCGCGGCACTCCCCTCATCCCTCACCTTACCTACATTTGCTCTTGGTGGCCTGGGAATAAACTCTGCTGAAAGGTGCACATTGATGTTTAGTTTTTGAATTTGCAATCTGATGATGGCATTTATTGCTCACTGTCCTTTGCTATGATGAATTCTCACCTGTGTTTTCTAAAGTGAGATTTTGGTTCAGCTATTTTGCTCAATTTCAAAACTGAGTTAGAGAAAAATGTAGAGCTCAATAAAAATCAATTTATAAAAACAAAAAAAAATCTGGGTTATTTTACTTCTGGTTAGAGATTGCATGAGTCTCAGAAGAGACTTTGAACATTGGATTTTAAAACATTGTTGAGACTGTGGTAGACAATGGGACTTTTGAAAATGAACTAAATGCACTTTGCAGTTTGGTATTATTAAAAACTTAGGGGCAAGAAAGTAGAATGTGATAGTTTGAATATAGAGTTCCCCATAAGATCATATGGAATGACACTATTGGGAAGTGTGGCTTTGTTATACTATGTATGGCCTTATTGGACAAAGTGTGGCACTGTATAGGTGGACTTTGAGGTTTCATATATGCTGAAGCTATGCCCAGTACTTCAGACCATTTCCTGTTTCCTGCAAGATCAGGATGTAGTGCCTTCTCCACTCTCAGCTCCGTCTCCAGCACCACATCTGCCTGCTTGCTGCCATGTCCACAATGATGAGAAAGACTAAACCCCTGAACTGTAAGTGACCCAACTAGAGGTTTTTTATTTATAAGAATTGCTATGATCATAGATCTTTACAGTAAAGAAACCATAACTTCGACAACTGGTATCCAAAATATAAAAAAAATTATAAAACTTAGCAGTGTAATACCCTGTTAAATCAAAATCAAAAAGCAGATCACATACTCCCACCATATAATGGCACATGATACCTTTCTAAAATATAGGAAAGAGAGAATAGTGAGGAAATATTGGACAAAAACAAGACTGAAAACCAGCTGGGCAATCTTCATGTCTGATGTCAAACACTCCAGATCTCCATCTCCTTTCAGCTTTGTTGTCTGCAAGACCTTTCTCTTGGGCTGGTTCTACTTATTATGAGCAGATCTTCTCTTCTTGGCAGGTGACTCATGGCTTTGACATTTCCAACACCTTGGAGTCTCCAAGGCAATCCAGGTTTCACCTTCACAGCTTCACACAATGGCTGCTCCAGGCCTCCATTCAGGGACACCCCTGACATATGCCAAATCGCAGTGGCTTTTCTTAGTCACTCCTTGACTTTAAAGCCAGAAACACGTGGCCAAAGCTTCCAAGTTCTGCTGCTTGCTGGCTTCAGAACATGTCCACCTTGTTCAATTACAGTTTCATCAAATTTCTTCTTTGCATGGTTTTCTTCACTGCCTAAGCTTGACTGTCCTGGCATTTGCTCTATAGAACCAGACTAACATCAAATTCAGAAATCTTCCTGCCTCTGTATTCTCATTGCTGGGCTTAAAGACATGCACCATGAAGTCCAGTTTTAATCTTTTCTCTAATTGTTTTTCGTAAATAATAAACTTTGCTGGGTGGGATCTTGCTCTGAGTCACTATTCCCTTTGTTTCATTTCTTAATCTGTTTATCTCATTGGACACAGAATTTAGCTACATTCTACTTCCCCATTCTTCTTTTCTTTTCAAATTGGACATTGTGTATTTTTTTCCTTTCTCACCTTGCTCCTTTTCATTATAAATCTAACCACACAACAGAATAAGTACAAAGCTGTTTTAAAATTTCCTCTGCCAATGGAATTAATCCAAAACCTCTTCACTTAACCTCAGGCAGACTTTTAAAACAAGGGCAAAAAGCAGTCACATTCTTCACCAAAATATCACAAGACTAGTCTCTAGGACAGATACTAACATTCTTCTCTGAGTTCTTTTGATCGAGGATCCCACAATTCAATTCCCACTCAATACTATTGTCTTTTATGTTCCTAGTAGAATAGCCTATTAAGCAGCCCTTAAAGTATTCAAATGCTTTTCCTTATAATCCACAGGACTAAGGTTTATATTCCTTCAAACAAAAGCATCAGATATATCACAGCAATATCTCAGGCCCTGGTACCATTATCAGCCTTAGTTAGGATTTCTATTGCTGTGAAGAGATGGCATAACTAAGGCAGCTCTTGTTAGGGAAACATTTAATTGGAATGGCTTACAGTTCTTGGGATTTAGTCCATTATCACCGTGGTATGGTGGCACGCAACAGACATGGTAATGGAGACGGAGCAGAGTGTAGAAAGGGGCTACATCTTGATCCCACTGGTAACAGGAAGTGACCTGAGATAATAAGTGTGACTTGAACATACATGAGACCTCAAAGACAACCTCAAAATAGCAAACTTCCTCCAACAATGCCATGCCTACTCCAACAAAGCCACCCCTCCCAAAGGTGCCATTCCTGCTGAGTTAAACTGCTACATCAGATAATTCTTTGGGAAATATTTTCTCCTAGTGTGTGTTTTATCTTCTCTTCATAACAATAACTTTTGGTGAGCATAAGTTTTAATATTAATAAAATGAGGCTAGCAAATTTATCCACACAGTGGCACTGTGTGGT